ACCCAGGGTTATTAATTAGTCTGTGAAGATGGTTTCTCTGTACTTTATGTATATATTTCACAAATTGACCTGCTGTACCTAGAGAATATAAGATGGTCTGAGGAATAAAAATTTTCTGCTATGAGTTTTCATATCTCAAGAGGCATTTATAGAGCTTTTTTGTCACTATATCTTGATTTTCACCTTCTACTAATTTACAGATTCATTTGTTCATTTGTTCCCACCACAAATTTTTGATAATTCTTAAATGCCAGGTGCTGTGCCAAGTGCTGGGAACATGAAGATGGATGAGACCCAGTCTGTACCTCACTGAGCTTTGTGTCTGTGTTATACAGTGTGTGGATTGCATGTCAGGCCCCATGTTGTGGAGTAACAGGGGTGAGCAAGGAACTCTGGGAGGTGAGGGGGCAGGGAAGATGCTGAGGGAATTGAGTCTTGATAGTTGAGTAAAAGTTTGTCAGTGATGAGCTGGGAGAAGGCTAAAGATAGTGGATGCAGGCTGTGAAGTAAGATGGCAGCGGTTCAGCTTGGTGAGAGTGAAGGATACAGTGTGGATTAGAGATGGAGCTGGAAAACCAGGTCATGGTGGACCCCTCATATACCATGCACCAGAGTGTGAACTTGATGTCCCAGGTCAGTGCCTTTCAAACTCTTTGTCTATGACCCATAGTAAAACATGCTTTTTTACATGGTGACTTATTACCAGGTTTGGTTCACACATTTGCAGGCCTGGGTAAGAGGACAAATGGGGACATGATATAGCCAATTACTTTAAAAGTTACAAATTAAGGCAGTAAACTGTTAGAAAGGACAAATATATCTCATAACAAAAACATTAAGGACTTCGAATAAAACCATTCATACCAAATAAATGAGAAGGGTGCAAATTTAAAATTAATTTTGTTTTCTACCAAAATGCTGTTATTAATCCTGGGGAAATGGAGGGATGACAGCAGCAAGACCAAGTAGGAGCAGAGGAGGAAAAGGCTCCCTCAGCCTTCTCTTCCCATGGTTATGGGATCTTCTTTTCTTCTTACTGGTGGAGGGGCTTTTTCTTTTCTTTTTTACATTTTTTTCTTTTAAAAAATTTTTATTGTTATTTTATTACAGTTGTCCCAAATTTACCCCCTCTGTCCTCCTCTGCCCTCCTCTGCCCAACCCATCCCCGCTCCCATAGTCAGTCCCTACGCCGTTGCCCATGTTCATGGGTCATTCATACAAGTTCTTTGTCTAGTCACTTCCCATTCTTTCCACCATTACCCACCTCCCCACTCCCCTCCCACAGCCTGCAGCTGTCAGTCTGTTCCATGCTTCCATGCCTCTGGTTTTATTTTGCTCATAGTTGATTTTGTTCATTAGATTCCTCTTATAGATGAGATTATATGGTATTTGTCTTTTGCCAACTGGCATATTTCACTTAGCATAATATTCTCCAGTTCCATCACACAAGGTAGGAACTCCTGTTTCTTCTTTCTTTAAGCAGCATTATTTAAAATAGTCAAATTCTGGAAACAGCCTAAATGTCCATCTGTAAATGAGTGGATCTCTTTTTTTAAATCTTCACCCAAGGACATTTTTTTCATTGCTTTTAGAGAGAGGAAGGGGGAGAGAGAGAAAAACCTCCACCAAAGACTGGGAGTTGACCCCACAAAGGAAGGAGGTTACAGCCAACTGAGCCACACCAGCCAGGGCATGGGTGGGGCTTTTTCATGGCTCCTCCTCTATCTCTATTGGCCGGGCCCCTGAGTTTCAAGGCTATCTAGACTACGCCAATCTTGTACAGGGGGAACCTCTGCCCCGGGTGCTCTCAGCTCCCCACTCTCACAGGAGAGTTTGAATTAAGAAGTCTCAGCCCTGGCTGGCGTAGCTCAGTGGATTGAGCACGGGCTGCGAACCAAAGTGTCGCAGGTTTGATTCCCAGTCAGGGTACATGCCTGGGTTGCAGGCCATGACCCCCAGCAACCACACATTGATGTTTCTCTCTCTCTCTCTTTCTCCCTCCCTTCCCTCTCTAAAAATAAATAAATAAAATCTTAAAAAAAAAAAGAAGTCTCTGAGTAGGAATGCAGAGGAGTAGGGAAAGCATATTGCCCTGCCCTTTTTGCTCCCTCTTCCTTCTGCCCTAAGGTCTACGCTTCCTTCTTCAGGTAACAGTTTTAGGCTACCTTTTGCGCTGAGGTGCAGACACTAGTAGCACACCTGACCTGAAGAAAGGGCTGACATAGGCTGAAGAAGCTAGCTTAGTGCCATTCGGGTAGGGAATTCTGGTGACCGAATTACTTGGAGCTTCAGATACAAAAGGGGTTTCCTTGCCTGGTGGAGAGGAGGATGGAGGCAGAGGAGGGCCAGAGCAGAGGGCTTTCTGCTCACTTGTAATGGTAGTGCTACTCAGTACACACATGTGAACATGCACACACACATTCATGTACATTTGCCTAAAAGTTGTGCAAAGTTGCACATATTCTCAGCGTTAAGTGAATTCTGTCTTTTCTGTTCCATTTCAGTTTTTTTTAAAGATTTTATTTATTTATTTTTAGAGAGGGAAGGGAGGGAAAGAGAGAGAGAAACATCAATGTGTGGTTGCAGGTCATGGCCTGCAACCCAGGCATGTACTCTGACTGGGAATCAAACCTACAACACTTTGGTTTGCAGCCCAGGGCCATTTCAGTTTTTTAAAAACACTAGTTGTAACACACCAAGTTGATTTTTTAATCTACTAATTGATCAACCTGTGACCCCAGTTTGAAAAACTCTGCTCATGTGATCAGACTGATGTTTTGGAAACATCTAGCAGCTGATTAGGTGATGGATTGAAAAGCAGGAGGGATGCTGGTTGTGAGATTATTGACTCAAAGATAGACCTAAAAATGGTTGGGGTGAGAACAGAGATGAAGGGAAGGTGGTAGAATCAGCAGGACTTGGCAGCTAATTAGATATTGGGATGCAGAAAAACTTGGATAATGCCAAAATTTCCAACTTAAATGGTGGGGGAATTAGCAGAGAAATATATTCGAGGGAAAGGAAATGAATCGAGCTTAGTACATACAGCCATCGAATTTGCAGTGTGTGACATTCAAGCAGTATTGTGTGTGTGTTTGGAGACAAGTGTGGTAGAATAGAGACTATAACAGGGCCTTTGGGTTTAGCATCTGGGAGACATTGATAAACTTAGCAAGGACAGATCATAGTGGTTCAAAGAGTGACTATGTTGGGAGATCAGGAAAGGATGACATAAAACATAGGATATACTCTGTCCTCTCAATAAACTTGATTGCAAAGTCAGGAAGAAAGAGGGAGGACGACAGCAAGTCGCAGACTGGAAGGAAGGTGTTTATTTAATTCCAGAGCACTCCTAAGGAGAAGAGAGGAGGAATCTGTGGAGACCAAGATACTGAAAATGTAGTGGAGAGAGGAGTAACTGATGCAGTCTGGTTTCAAGGGAGGTGAGAGAACACATTTTAGGACATAAGTAGGAGGGAACCTTAGACAGAAGGAAGAACATAAAGAGCACACAGGTAAGAAGGAGATAAGGATGTATGTGGAGGCAGAAGTTTTCCTCAACAGATAATTGTTGCATACAAGCAGTAGGCACTATGAAGGTGCTGGGGCTACAAAGGTTAGTAAGATGTAGTCTAGTGGGGAAGGTAAGATGGGCAAGGAAATCAGCAGGATACGGTGTGGTCATTATCATCTACAGTAATGCTCAGGGAGGCAGAAACAGAGAGGCATAAAGCAAGGCTTTCCAGAACAGACAAAAAATGAAAATGGCTTTCTTCCTGAAGCAGGAGTTAGGGACATCTAAGAGAAGTATTCAGATGCAGGCAGTGGTGGGTCCAGGGCTTGGGGAAAGTGTGGACCTGGATTACAGTGGTGTTTATTGATAACTGGGGTTATAATAATATTTTTTTGTTCTTACAGTTACTAACTTTGTTTAAGCATCAGGTGGAACTTTATTGCGGAATACTTGAGAAAATGAATTTTTATGACAAAAGAGGCTGCTTCTTACTTATCCTCTCCTCCTCCCCCTTTTGGTGACTTCTCTTGATGCTAATTTAGGTAAAGAAAACCATGGCTTCCAAAAGTGCTTTGGTACCCTGGCATCATTTCAAAGAAACCTCCTTTCCCACTCAGTTAACTACATTTCCCAGGGGGGGAAAAAAACTTCTCTGTCAATGTAACATCCTTTAACAGGACTCCTGCTGGTCGGTTCTTGTATCTTGGGGTGGCAGCTGTGAACATATATGCTATTGATTGTTAATGTGTGATATAAATCCGACTGGAGCATGCCCACTAATTGGTTTGAGAGCTAGATATAGACAATGCTGTCTTAGAGTAGCTTGTGTAGATAGGCCTAGTCTTAGGGTTAATTCTGCTTGACAGCACATCAGCAGCATCTTGAGAGTAATTACCTAACAGAAGTTTTCCCACAGCTGAACTGAGAACTTCAAAGGCTTCTGAATTTACAACCAGTATTAACCTATATCTGAAACATAATGTTCCCACAAGGGCTCAGATTTTTTTTCTCCTGCTTATTAAACATATGGGGTTACTAGGTTCATTTACTCTGTGAAGAACTTAGTGAAAAATTACTTGGTGTTGAATAATTGAAAATCTTAATAACAAGTCAAGAGGATAGTTTTAAATTTAAGTTTTCTTTTTTCTTTATTATATTACTGAAACAAGTTAATCTGTAGAGTCTGGATGCTTTTTGGTTTTCATATAGTTCACCCTCTTTCTCTGAAAAACAAGCTAAGAAGTTAATATCTTTTCCATACTGTGCTATCTCTATGGATATGTGCATGTTTAGGGGACTTAGGGTAGTACTTGTGTTTAAAATGGTTAAAATAAATATATATTTACATTTTTAAAAAGCTATTTTCCTTGTTGACCAATGTTCTGAAATCTGTAACTGTTGCATCTACCCCCACTCTCCCCATAAAATAACAGTTATTCTTTAACAAGCAATTTTCATATTGTAAAAAATGTCTTTCCCTTTGCAGGTCAGAAACCAAATTTGACTCTGGTTCAGGTATGTTTACATTAATAATGTTTTTCTGAGTATATTTTATTTACATTATTCTCTGAGGAGTAATTCATCAGATCAAGAACCATTTTGATTTTAAACAGACGAGGCAGTCTCTTTTCAAAACATGAACCTCACCTCAAAGCAGGGTATTAGCTGCTTGGAATCATAACTTGAGATATTCACCCTGGGATTCTTGATAGTTCTGCAATAAGCATTAAATGCTCTCTATCTGCAGTTTTATTTTAAAAGCAGAGGTGGGGGTTGTACATAATCATTTCTCAAAATAGAATATTAGTCTCTCAGTGGACAAAGCATCCTGAATTGGTTGAAGATTCTCTGCAAGTGACTTGTCATCAAATGTGGGTAATAGGTACATCTGATCCAGCAAACTATAAAGAGTTTTAGCCAATAGAAATAGATATTTATCTATGACTTATTAATTATTTCTTATTTGCTTTATTGAGGGAGTATGGAAAATTAAGGTCACCTGAAGCCGTCATTTTGTACCTATCAAGACAAAATTTACATTCTCACAAACAGTGGCATATCAGCCTCATTAGGTGTTTTCTTCCCATTAAGAGTGAATATAGCCTTATAATCCTTATGTTCGGCTGGGTCTCTATGCCACTTGCTTGTATTTGTGAGCTTCAGAGTTTCTGATGGTATTTATAATTAAAGCATAAAAATTGCCTTATGTTCAGTGCTAAGGAATTATGCTCTTTAGTGAACTGTTAATAGATAAATAGACATTAATGTTTAATTCCAGGAGAAATAATTTTTGGAAAAAATATGTAAATCTTGAATTTAAAAGTAACATTCCTATTCTAGTTTGAGTTCCATTGTGTTTTAACTTTTAGAGAAGTTCCTGTTTACGATGTTCACAAAGAACCTAAGACTGTGTGCATATTTTCTGACAGTGGCGTTAAGAAGCCAACATGCCTTTTTTCTTCAAAATCTTCTTCTTTGTTTTATTGTATAGATTTATGAATTCCTCCAACTTGGTGAGACTCTATAAATAAGAAGTCTGTACATTTGAGTTAGCAACTTTACCTAATTTGAGAACTGTAATTCCAAAAATCTTTCCATTCTGTGTGTTCTTGTGCTTCTGAATCACATGTGACATTGATACTGTAGGATAAGCATTTCTGGTTTACAGTACTGACTATGTGGAGACTGAAGGCATGGTGGGTCATATCAACTATGGGACTTTTTTTATTGATGTGTAGGAGGTGCCTCAAAATAGGGTAAAAAATCTTTGTTATTTTTAGTAGTTAAAAATCTTTAAGCATAATAAAAACAAATGAATAAAATTGATGAAGAATGGATTTTTACATAAGTCTGTCTTTTTATCATTGTCAGTCACCAAATATTTATTAAGAACCTACTTTGTTATGATCTGATTTAATTTTCTAAACATCGTCAGAAATTGGTTTTAGGCTCAGGATCTGGAATATAACTTTTAAAAATGAAAAAGTCTACTAGGTTCATTTTGAAGGTAAAACCTGGAAATAACGTACAAAACTGAAATATTAGGCAGCTATTGTCAAACTCAGAAAATTTATGTTAAATTTTCAAATCCAAATTAAAGTGTGCTGCTAAATTCCTGTACTGAAGGTTAGTATTTATTCTGAAAATAGTTATAACATCTGTACAGACACATCTTTCACTTTTGTGACCAAAAATTTTGTTCATGATTCTTACTTTTTTCAAGTCCTAATTTTTTTAATGTCTATCATGACAACATCTGCATGTCTTCGAAAACTATCAAGTTCTGTACTCTGAAAAATCTTATGGGGAATACTGATTAAAAGATTTTTTTTTTTAAATTTTGAATTAAATATGTTGTGGAAAGAATTTAGGTGGTTTCAAATTAAGAAACATAATTTTTTTCTTATAAAATCTTTCAGCTTATTATCTATCAAATGAGGGAATCATGACAAAGTTAGAAATGCAATCTTTGGCTTTTTATATCATACAAATTTTGGTTAGCAAAAAGGTAGCATATTGGAACAATTAAGTGTATGACTTTAATAGGTTCAGATTCTCTATTGTTCATCAAATACAGAAAGTCAACTAACTCTGTTTAATGTTATGTACAGCTGGCTGTAACAGTGTTCCTGACAAAGTGAGGTTTTTAAATGAAGGAGGATGCCATCTTTCTAAGGAAAAAAAAAACCCTTAAAAATAAATACAATAGTCAATGACTAGCCATAAAAGAAAGCATTCAAAGTAAAATTATACATACAAGACACACACACACACACACAAATTTTTTTCTTTTCAAGTAAAGAAGCCAACTTATGCAGCGCTTACTGCACATTTGCGGTTTGTATAAATGAGTTTCAGGCTGTGGAGTGAGATTCAGGAGGAAGGGAAGGTTTCATTGTTAGCACATGGTAAAAAATGTCTGTTGTTGAATATATACTAAAATGACCAACCTAGAAAGAGATTTAAATTTTTCTTATTAAAATTGTGTCAATTTTTTTCTTCAAAAATGAGTCCAGAGATAACTTTGTTTTCTGAAGTTTCAAATTTTTTTATAATGAAAAGTTTCAATTATCTATAAAAGTAGAGGATTTAATATAATGAGCACCCATATATCCATCATCTAGATTTTACTGTTAATAATTTTCCACATTTGTTTCACTTTTTTTCTTAAAATATTTTAATGTAAAATACAAATATTTCACATGAATTTTAAAACCTGGAAATTATAGACTGTATTGACTTATTGAAAGAGATCAATTATTTTAAAAAATGTTTATTTTTAAAATTAAACAAAAATTTGGGTCACATATAAATTCTTATGGAAAGGATTGTGGCATTAATATGTCCACATTCAGTTAAAGAGACTAAAGTTCTTTTTGTGGTGAAGGTTAAGAAAACCTCAACCAGAAGGCAGAGGCGCTGAATTAATTCTGACCTGAGAATCCAAAGAATGTTCTATCCTCAATTAATTTGATTAAAACTTAAGCTGCCATCTAGCTGTGTCCTCTACGTACTGACTTATATACTGATTAAACTCCATTTCTATTGGTTTAGCATAACTCAATTGTCTAAAGTTTTCGGCTTTGCCAGTTGAGAGCAATCTTTCTAACAGAGTTTTTAGGTTTCCATTTTAATACTGTCTCCTAGTTGATGTATTAGTGTTGCTTGCCTATGATTGTGTGGAGTTGGTGATTTTACTAATAGAGTAAAACAGACTTCCTTTTATGTTCAGAAGTAGCAAGAAGCTGTGCTCTTTTCCCCACCGCCCAAGAAGGGAAGTTAGTTGATGCTGGAGGAAGCAGAGCATTGAGTTTAATGTAGTGATTAAACATGAAAGCCATATATCAAATCTCAGGAGAAACATGCTTTTGAAAGAGGCAGGGAACTGTGGAGCATACTGCATGATAGGCTATGTAAACAGAGCCCTGGAGGTCAGTGTGTGGATGCAAACCAATTAAATAAAGAACTTAGTGGCTTTGCTTTCTATCATTTGGATGGGGAGGATCACAAGTTAACTTGCACAGGGTTCAAGTATAAACTTGGCTTGAATAAGCTAGGCACCTTTGGAAACTTCATTAACTCTTTCAGTTCATTAACAGATTTTTAAAAGTTTAACTGAAGTCCCTAGGAAATTAAAAACAAAAACAAAAACAAAACCCCAAAATATATGCTCTGTTGGCCCTTCTGTACATACCCCTCAGCAAAGGTGCTAGTGATGAGTAGAATGGAAGAGAAAGCAGAGGATGAACTGCTGAAAAGACCAGAGTTGGCTGTGTAGTCAGGTTTCAAGAACATGCACATGTCTTTTAAAAACAACCCATTTGGAAAAGCAGAGCTTTTGCAGAATAACTGAAAAAAGATGTTTTTCTCTTCTGAATTCTGGGTATGAGACAAAGATATAGTTGGAATTTACTAGTCACTATATAACATCAGGATACTGTTATTTCTGTTCCATTAAAATAGAATAGTTTTCTGACCAAGAAAGACCTGAAGCCTGTAACTGTATGTGAAGGATGGCCTGGTGTCTAATGCTGCGATTCTAACCTTCTCAGGCAGTGTTTGGGTGAGAAAATGAAATACCAAGTTAAATGGTATAGTTTCATGGTCCATAAACATTCAAAACAAAGATTTTTTTTTTCTGTAGAGTCATGTTGGCTCAGAAAGTGAATAAGCTTATGTTTAGTGCTTGTTGATTCTGGGCTGCTTGGAACAGCTATACTAAGGAAATGGACTCATAGAGCACACCAACTGAAAGGTATAAAATTTCATGAAAGCAAATTATGGAGGATTAAGAAACCTAATGAGCATGGTTTAGTGTGGAGAGTAGAGGAGGGAGCTCACTATTAAATAGAGCCCAAGAGTGTACAAGGTTAGAGGATCCTAAAAGACACCATAATAAAGGCACAACAGAATATAATTATCCTGTTGAGGCAAAAGAAAAAAAAAACTCTCCAAGGAACAAAAGCAGCTAGTGTCGCTTTTAAGATTTGTAGTTAAAAAGGAATCTACACTAGGGTAAGGAAATCAAAGAATATAATCAGTTAAAGCTTGAGGCAAAAATAGAGTAAGCTGATAATGTTGGTCACTAAGTTGAAGGGAAATGAGAAATCCAAATATAGTAGAACTAGAATTTTGAAAGTTTATAAGTAAATGAGACAATTTTCTTAATATAGTAAGCCTTTCTCAGGGAATATTTATAAGGAAAACATTTTCAGATCTTATGAATGTGAGGATATGTCAGTAATACTTTTTAATTGCTAAATCAGTTTTGTCATTTTAAACTTTAATTGTGGAGGTCTTATAACAGTGAAGGACAAGGAAGTAATATATAAATATAAGAATATTGAAATCTGTCATTTGTCATCATTCACTAATAGAAATGACTATCTATTCATTAGTTTAACATGGATTTATTAAGGAACACTGCATGCCTGATGCAGAGCTTATTGCTATGAACAGGGTAGATACAGTTCCTTCTTTCATGGAATTTTACAACTAGTTGGTCCATTATATAT